GACTTTTCTTTTTATCAGATGAATGGATTAAGAAATAGGAAAAATTAAATTCAGTATAACGTGCATGTACATAAGACTGGTATTTGGCAAACTTGGCTATCTGTAGTAGAACACAAAAAGGAAGGAAATACAAGCAGAGAGCACGTAGATCACCATGACGGACAGTTGTTTGATGGAGGGTTTGCTGTGGTCTGGGCATCTGACAAAGCATGTGGCCCAGTTCACTTTGTAATCACATTCCTGCTTGGTTGCCAGGTTTTATTGCTTCAATTCTGCAACTAATCCATGCCTCGAGCAAGGTCCAGACTCAGCTCTGTATAGTCACTGTGCTCTACTGCCTTCCAAAGATGGGGTGCTGTGCAACCTTGCCAGTGCCCAGTGAACCTGCTGCAATCCTCATAGAAGCTTTTGTTTAAAACACTGCAGCAGCCACAGATTCACCCAGAGAAAGCACAGATGAGAGCCTGACAAAGGTACTTCAATAGTAGAGCAGCTGTCTTAAATAGCTTCATAATAATTTAACGATCTACAGGACATTTCACCCAAGAGATAGGGTTCACACATGTTTAGCAGTGCATGGGAGCTTCTTAAAAGCTGATCACACCTTAGGTCACAAAGCACACATACATACACACACACACGCACGCACGCACGCACGCACGCACGCACGTGCATTACGATAATTTGTAGTATCTGGTCTCATCACTGTAGAGAGAAATAACAAGAGGATATTCAGAAGCTATACAAAAATACTTAGAAACTGAACAGCACATTTGATTAAACAACAGATTATTGAAGAAATCATGAATGATATTATAAAATCCCCGGGAAACAAATGAGAGTGGCAACACAAGCTACCGGATTCTTTGGGAATCAGATAAAGAAGTCGTAAGAGGAGGAACCTTAATAGCTGTAAGTGCTCCCAATAAGAAAACATAGAGATCTCAAATAAAAACCAAAACCAACCATGCATCTCATGACTCATTACTCTGCAAGAACATGAAGGCAACCCCAAAACCCAGCAGACAGCAAGAAACAAAAAAGATTAGGCAGACAGTAATGTGGTGGGAGCCATAAAACAACAAACAAAATACATAAACTGAAGATTCGGTTCTTCATTATAAAGGTTAACACGATTGCAACTCTCTAATCAAAGTAACAGAGAAAGAGGGGAAGGAAGGGAGGGAGGGACTGGAAAAAGAGAGACAGAGAAAGAGATAACAACAACAACAACAACAACAAAAAACAAATTGAGAGGCAAAAAGGGAGTTGTTACTACAGAGAATACTATGACAACATATCCACAAAGACTAGAAAACCTAGAAGAAATTGTTAAATTTCTAAATGCACATGACCTGACTAAAGCCAGAAGATATAAATAATTTAAAACATTAAAGCAATAATTAAAAGTCTTCCCACTAAGGACAGTCTAGGACCAGATGGACTCACTGTTGAATTCAGTCAAGCAAGCAAGCAAGCAAGCAAGCAAGCAAACAAACAAAGACATTTCTTTACTTATCTATTTATTTATTACGTGTGTGTGCACAAGCATGCATGGGTGCACATGTGTACATGCCATGGCATGCATGTGGAAGCCCTAGGACAACTTGTGGGAGTCAGTTCTCTCTTTCTACCATGTGGGCTTTCAGGATCAAACACAGGTTATCAGGTACCTTTACCCACTGAGCTGTGTTCCCAGGCCCTGGATTCTAGAACACCTTTAAGATCTAATATCAATTTATTTCTCAAACTTTCCCATAAACAGGATGACAAAGAACACTGCTAAATGAGCACTATCCTGATAACAAAATTAGGTAAAGATACCATAAAAACTAATGAAGAAAAGAAAACTACAGACCAATTTCCATGATGAACAATAGATATAAAAAGTTTCAACAAAATACTTGCAAACTAAAGTAAAGGACACATTGGGAAGATTATACATCATGACCAAGCAAGTTTTATCCCAGAGATGTAAAGTTGCTTCAACATTCACAGATCAATAAATACAATTCACTGTATAAATAAGCTTGATCATATGATCATCTCTATGGGTGCAGAAAAGGCATTTGACAAAGTTTACCATGCCTTCATGATAAAAATCCTGGAGAAATTAGGAACAGACAGGACATTTCTCAAAACAATGAAGATAATATGTTATAAACCCATAGCCAACATGATAGTAAATGGGAAAAGTAAAAACATTTTTTTCAAAGATGTGGAGTGAGACAAGGGTGGCTACTACTTCTACTCTTAGTCAGTAGTGCCTGAAATCTTAGCCAAAATTAAGAGAGAGGAGAAAGATGTAAAAGACCTACAGCTGGAAAGGAAGAAGTAAATTTGTCTCTCTTTACATATGGCATGATTCTAGATTTGAAGCCTTGCCAAAAAAATTTTACATTTAATAAATACTTTCATAAGTATTTATCTGACACAAAAGTCAGAAGCTTTCATATATATCAAATAATAAACTCACTAAGAAATTAGAAAAAATAAAACCTCATTCATTATAGTTCCCTCATAAGAAAAAGTGCCTAGGAGTAAACCTCACCAAGGATGCTGAACATCACTACTACACTGAAAACATAAGATACTGAGAGAAAAAAAATTAAAGAAGATATCAGTAGCTGTAAGAACTCCCATGCTCCTGGATTGGCAGAATTTACATAGGGAAAATGGCTATGTTGTCAAAAGTAATCTGTAGATTTGGCACAATTCCCGTCAAAATTCCACTGACTTTTTTT